CTTCTTTTTGAAGGACAGGAGCAAAGCATATTCCTGAAGTAGTAAATACTTGTTAAATATAAGAAGGCCCATTAATGCATGACAGTGAATTAATACGATAAACCAAATCAGAGGGGTGGATTTCTGCTAACAGTAGAGTCATATGATTTCCTGCCTTTCTCTAAGTATTATTACTCCATACTTTCTTTTGCTTGCCTCCTTTGTTCACTGTATGGCTGTTGCCTTAAGAAAAGGCAACAAAGACATAACTAAATGTAGAGTAGGAAGAGCTAGTCCCTTCCCTGTGGTGCAAAATATAAATAGAAGTGACCAAAACATAGAAAAACGTTCCCTAGTTTGTACAACAAATCAACAAAGACCAGGGATGTAGAGCAAAGTCTTTTGACTCGCATTGCCATTTTCTGCAAGCCTCAAAACTTTCCGATCATTTTAATTGTTGTAATGAAAATCCCTGTCGTTTCTGCCAGAATATTTTTGTTGCATTTCATTTGCTTTCTTGCCAGAGAAAACTGCCTTTAGGGTCAGTGAACACAGAGTTAATGTATATGCCAGCTACTGGGAAAAGGTAAGTACATGCTTTCTTGTATGTGCACCTTGGCGTGGCTCACCTATTAGAAGGAAGTTGTTGGAGTATTTCTTCTCAGTGATGGTCATTTCCCTTCATAAGTTAGCTTTCATTTATGCAGTTTCTAAATGGATGTCTTACTACTTTTAGCTTCAGTCTCACTCCCTCGGCTTTCAAGATGTGGTTTCTTACAGGGTTTTCCCTTAAAATAGGCAACAACTTCTATCAACACACAGTGTTGACCTCAGGGTGTTATAAACCATTCTTACCAATTCACTCACCAAGGGACATTCCTAAAAACTAGAGAAGATGAGATTTATCTCCCCCTGTTGATTACGATTTTCTTTTGAGGAGATTTTGGGGGGAGTTTGTTTTGTTTAAGTAGGGTTTAATATAAAATCTTTTGGCTATTTTTACACAGACATGTTTTCATTTAGGCTATAATGTTTAGGAACTGAATGTGCCTTTTGTATGTCTGCAGAGCGCTCAATAGGAAAGTGGTGTTCTCGTAGTTCCAGTTAGCACTATAAATAGCTTTAGAATAATGTTGTGCTGAGGGCCTCATAGATAGTCCCCATTGATATCTCTAGGAATCTTGTAAAAAGGCGGAAAAGCAATTTTCTTTGGAGTTCAAGGAATAGGGAGAGAATCCTTGCTGGATATGACTCTCAACATGAATTTCACCCAACGTCACATGTAGATTGAAGATATCCTCTAGTTTCTTTATACCCTCCCGTCTCCAGTGTTGTTTCACAGGAAACTACTTGAGAGTTGGTAAAGGCATCTGCAATTACAATTTCAATTGCCACTTTATGAAAAGAACTCAAGGATAAACCTCTCTGTTCCACATTCATTTCCTCCTGTCCATAAATAGCTGTTTCTCTGACAGCTCTTTCATCATCATCAACTTGACCTAATCCAGAATTCTCTCTGCTGCGTCCTTTTGTTTGCTGTGGATGTCTCAGCCATTCTTCAAGTCAAGTGAGACTTGTTTTTATAGATTCTTTCTGCATAGTATCCTTGAGATAAGACCTGTCCCAGCTATGCATCCAGCTAAAAAATTACTTGGATTGAGTATTGCATCTCACTTACTTCAATATCCATTTCCCTGGCCGTGACTTGACAAAAGCAGTCTTGCCCTACTCTCATCCATTCAAAATGCTGTTGCCACTGCAATGACTGTTCTCTTTCTTTTTGCTTTACTTTTTTTTTTTTTTTTTTTTTTTTTTTTTTTTTTTTTTTTTTTTTTTTTTTTTTTTTTTTTTTTTTTTTTTTTAAGAATTTTAATTCTGAGTTTCTGATCATTTCACTTTGATTTTCTCCGCTGGTTCCCTCTGTCCTGTCACATCAAACATTGCTGACCTTCAGTGTCAAGGCTGCTCACAATCATTTACTCAGACTATTTTTTTTTTAATATCAAAAGACTGATTTCCATCTACAGCTGTTAAACCACATTGGTATCAGTCGCTTAACCATTGTTTTTATGGTAGCATCTTTTGCCTTTCTGTTGTGATTCCTTTATGGAGGGATGGAGATCTTAGATATCCATTGATATATTTCATTGGTGTTCTGCAAGTCCTTAAAATTCTCATTCCCTGCGATATCTCAGTGTGCTTGACAGTGAATGCTGATCAATTCGTTACAAGTCAACTTTTGTACTGTAACTAAAGTGCCATGTTCAGTCCATTGCTGTCTCAGTGTTTCTTTGAACATCCTCGTCTGTATCCTAGCTCTTGTTGCTTGTTTTAAATGTTAAAGTCTTTCTGATAAAAGGGGAGTCAGCATAATCTGTTTGGTGTTTGTACAAAGCCTGGCAATTTGGACTTATAAGAGCTCTGCTACTTGGAATTTCCCAGATTAGTAAGCGATTGAGGTGTGCTTTGTTGTTTCTGAGTCTATATAAATGGTTGATGAGTTGGGATTTGTTGTGGATTCCAGCAAATTGTTGCTGGCACCTCCATTGAACTTTCCACATATACCAGTTTGATAGTAACATATAGATAGGTGTATAACCCTAGAGATTGATACGTCATAAAGTATTTATAAGTATAGGAATAATGTAAAATCTGATCCAGTCTCATTCCATCATTTTGAAAAGTTACATATGTGAAAAAACTCCTCGTTTTTAGTACAGGCATCCACACGCTTTTGGCTTCTTGGAGGCTACAAATGCACTTTTAGTGTGGATTGAATATGAATAAACTAAACTCTGAAATTCAACTGAGCTTGATTTTACACCTGATGTGAAAGCTAAAGATTTTTGTGTGCTGGGGACAACATAATTTTTAATAATTATTTGGTATGTGTTTCTGTGACAGCTATTAGCAGCTTTCAAATAATTTTCATCTTAAAATTGTGTTTGAAAAATGATTCTAAGCACTGAATTTCAAAATACAGAATAACCTTGGGCTTAGGTATGTTCAGAATATCCAAGTATATGTGCATTCACTGATTTCAGTTGAAAAGTTCAGTAGAACATCTTAGTATCTTAGCTCAAGTTGTATCAGAGTTTTACAGATACAATGATAAAAAAAAGTTGTGCTTAAAATAATAGCAAGCTATTGGCGGTATGCTCAATAACTGTTGATTACTAAAATGGGTCTAAAAGATGCAATCAAAAGCATGTTGACTGACAAGCTGAGTCATGGTGGAATAGCAGCAGCCCAGGCACTGTTACGCTGTACTTTCATATATGCTATTCGTCTTCTCCACCGTGAGTACTACATACATCACTATCTCTGCCCTAGTTTTGTGAATAGAGTTCGTCATTAAATTGAATAGCCAAAACAAGCTATCCACTGGAAATTATGATTTGGGTTTCTAGTGCATTTTCTAAGCTGTATATAGCTGCAAAAAAACTTTTTAAAAAAGAGAGTAAAATAGACTTATGTGTGTCTGCGGGGAAATGTTTTGACTGTGTAACCATGATGATGTGACTGACAAGTAGAGAAACAGTGGGGATTATTTTATTTTTCTGGCTTGGTAAGCGAAATGCTACCTGGATGGAACACATAAGTGTAATCCAGTGAAGATTTTTGCCTTTCTAATTAGTGATACTCTGAGCTCCTTGCGGGAGACCAATTTGTGGACTTCATGCTGAATATTGCCTTTGCTAAACATATATACTGACTCTAAGCACAGATTAAGTAGCTCAGCTTCTGGAGCTTAATTTTTCTCTCAGTCTCAAAATATTGTTGTGTGAATTCTACAGTTTGTCATGTTACAGAGTTTGTAGTGTTAAAAACGTACCTTTGTTAGATTAATGAATTCATTGTGAGCAGTGCAGCTCTTTTATCCTTCATTTAGAATAAAAGATAAGCTGGTATTTAATTTAGTCAGAAAAGTTAAAATCAAATAGTTATTTTCCTTCTTTTAGTCACTTCTAATTGCTTACTATTATACAGAAAATGATATGATTTGAAGACCACTATGAAAAAAACCATTGTGGTTATTAGATATTTGCATTCAAATCTGTCTTGGAAGTGTGTATTGCCATGGGAATCCATGCTTCTGAGTCCTATCCCAGACTCTGCCACTGACCTCCTGTATTTTAGCAGGGAACCTGGTCTTTTTGTTCCTTAGAGACAACATGTATGAAATGGAGATGTGACCACATCTCTTATGAGCAATGTGATGTTAGTATTCAGTATCTTGTTCTGAAAAACTATCTATGCCTAGAATTCCCATTTCCTTCAGGTGAAAATATCTATCGGATGCATCTATGTGTCTGCTGGGTGCAGTATTGTAACTGGACATCTTTGAGAGGTGATCAGTGGATTAAAAGTGTGAAGTTTGGTATTTCGAATTTCCTAATACTTTTGGTTGGTGGGATAACAAAGTAGAAAAACCCAAACCACTTTAGTGAGAGGTAAGGACAACACTCAGAAGTGTAAGACTGAAGGAAAGGAAAAGTGTATAGTTTAAACTAATTTGATTTGCCAGAGTTGAAGCAAGTACGTTTCAGTCTAACAATAAATTTAGTGTGCTTATTTTCCAAGAATTAGAGCTGATTTAGTGCAGTAAATAGTATGATTACTCATACATGATCTTCTACATGAAATTCAGGAAAACCACATGACTCCTTTTGGGATGACAGGCCTGTATGTCCGATAGCATGAGGCAAGCTCTGATTGTTATCTCAAGACCCCTGAACTTGGGTCCTGTCAGGAGAAGGTCACATGCAGCCAGTGGACATACAGTTGGAAGCAACATCTTAGCCCAAAGACTTTTTACGGCATCAGCTTTGTAATAGGGCCATAATTTTACTGCTTTTGAGTTCGAAATAGCTTGTGTTATCTGAGTATTTGAGCTGCTGTTGTTTTTTCCTTTGTTTCTATTTTCCTATCTAATAATAATCAGTCACCCCAGAAGTTACTTGAAATAGTAACTATTCTCCCCGAACTGTGGTTTTATTTTCTTTTGGCTTTTATTTCAGCTGTGGGAGCCAGCTGCTCCAAAGAGTGTGGGAAGCTGACTTGGAGGCCTGTCAGCTGTTGATCCGAGGATTTCAACTGAAAGAAACCAGTTGCTGTCTTTTTGAGGAAGAAGAGAACCAAATGGAAGAGATGGAGATGACTGCTGATGGCCCATCTGATTCTGAAAAAAGAAAAGAAGGTCACTTTCCAAAGGGCACGGAGTGGGGCACTTTTCCCTGCCCCAAACACAGCGAGATAAAAGAGGTATTGGAAATATTCTACAGCTGCATTTCAAGTAATACTGCTGGTTTTCTCTTTGAGAGGAGGAGTTGAATCTGGGTGACGGGTCAGCAGGGCAGGTTAAGTATGAACTGGGACATGAATAAAATAGCTTATTAGCTTCTCAGAAGCCCTTCAACCGTTTATCTTTTCACCATCAGTCTTTTTAAAATGTGGAAATTATTCAGGCAATGAATACGGAATGTACATCAGGATTTAAAGAATAACATTTAAGTATTTAACATCAATGAGCTGTTCCTCATCTCACTGCTGAGTTTCACTCTGCGTTAGTTCTGCTGACTTGTTAGCCTGGATCAACATTAGCTGATATAGGGAGAAAGTAAGTTTTCCTCCCCTAGTGAAATGGTCAAAGGCTTCCTAGCTCAGACGCTCTTAGGCTTCCAGCGTCCAACAAATATTGAAAGGAGGAAGCAGTCATGAGGCTTAAAGGGTTTGACAAATTTCTTTTTAGGTTTTTGTGTTCTGCTCTGTCCTTGCTTAAAAGTATACAGCTACCTTATAATCCTTTAACTGCACTGCCAAAGTTTTATTACCTTGGAATTTGGTTGACAAAAATTAAAAGTGTGCTTAATCACACCTGATTTTAAGAGCCATTGTGTTGAAAACTGATGCCTAATTTTGCATTTATACTGGCTGAGACTTAGTGGAAAGCAGACCCTTCCCTTACTGTAAAATCTCCTCTTGTTAATAAAGTTCTGCTTTTAATTTGGGCTTCAGTAGTACTTGTAGCCTTTTCCTAGGGAAAATACTTTATGGGCTGACTCCACAGAGAGAAAACTTGGAAATAGTCAGCTGTGGCTTTTGATTTTTTTTTTTTTTTTCCTTTCATCCCCTCCCCATCATATTCCTGATGAGTCTGCTAAAGTCTGCTAAAACTCTGTTGGTTATGGAAAGCTGCGCTCCCCTTTCAAAAGAGCAGCTGAGAAGCTCTGGAGGGTTTGGAGTTTTGTGACTGTTTCTGTAGCATTTTGAGATTTGTGCTGTAGATGATCAGCTATTTCACCCCTGCAAATCCAGATAGTTTCCCTAGAAATCAGGATTGCTATCCTAGAATGACATCTAGGCAAGTGACATGTGGTGACTTGTGGTTCTGGAGAGAGAGGGTGCAGGACTCGGAGGGACAAGTTGCCCATAGGTTTAATGGAAGAGGAAAGCATATTTGCAGTGCTTCCATTAAGCTCCTCCATTTCAACTTGCATTTTGATAATTTCCTCTCTGTCTCTATCAGCAATAGAGGGAATTTAGGGAGGCTATCCACCTAAATTCAGCTCTTCATGTAGGTGCTTAAACTTTGTGGTATAAATGCCTTTGCTGGGAATCTGGCCTATTCTGGTACCTTGAATAAACTAGGCTTTGAGAATGTGCCAAAATCCATTTAGAAGCTGATGTGCAAATATAAATGTGAAAAATGCCCATCAGTAATGGACCTCTGGAGATATTTCTGCATCTGTTCTGGCAGCTCTCCTAGACTGACACACTTGAAAGAAAAAGAAGATCTACTTTTGTTAATATGAGAATGTTAATTTGTTTTCTAACTTTTAGGAGTTGAGCAACACAGCAGTGTTTAATCACAGCTTACTAAACTAGCCTTCTTCTGTTTCAGTTCTGCCTCCATTGAGGCAAAGTTATACATCAGTGATGATTGCAACTATAAAAATATCCCAGCATATAGACTGCATTCTAGGTTCTGGAATGAGGTTAGTCAGCTTGCTTTTATACTTTCAGGAGCTGGGATGTTTTCCTTGTTGTGGGGTATAAAAGTTTTACCCAAACAAGTACACTTTAGTTAATAAAGACGGTAGGATCTCAGTAGGAGTGACAGACAGTATCTAAACTTTTAAAGAAGAGCTATAGCATAACATTCCCTGACATCTAGTAATTCACCACAAGGCAGAATATAAAAAACAAATAAAAACTCTCATACATACTTACAAAAGATGCTAACTTCCAGTTTTTAACATGTTGAAGTACAGGAGAGAATATGTCTTAATTCGTAAGTGGACTGAGTTGAAAGGTAAGCCAACTCTGTAGCATTAACTGCTCTTTTGTATGGTATTGTATTTTTTTTATTTAAAAATAATTTCAAGCTTGGGGCAAAAAAATTAAATAAAATAGTGGTGTGTCTTTTAGTCTCTAAATTTGGCCATTCATGTGACTTTCATGGAAAAGCTTCTGTTGTCCATTAGTAGGGAACCCTTTTGTAGCCATTTATCACCAAGTGTAGCCATTTATCTCTACCTAATAGAAAAGCACCTACTTGTCAAAATACTTGGCTTGATATAATTTAACAAGGCTGTGGTGTTCCTGTGAGAGGAGTAGCTTGATACGGTTGACGTGTTTTTAGAATGACTGTTCTCTTCAGCTGCATCACCTCTGTTCCCTGTTGGGGAATTTCTAGAGAGCGCTGTTAGTCACTGAAGCAAAAGGAAAGTGGCATTCTTTGCACTGAGAGGTTACTGAATTACTAGCTTCAAAACAGTATAGCAAAGGATAATAATAGTATATGTGCATCCATGCTTTGGAAGGTACCTTTCATTCCCAGGTGATTGATTGACTTTTATGATGAAATGCTAGAAATGAAGCTCTCCAGTTATTTAGCATGCTGTATCTGGTGAAGTATAACTGTGGATATTGGTTCTGCTGATGTATACATAAATACAGCTTTCTTACATCTAACTGTATCTTACTGTATGGGTTTCATTAGAAAACAAAGAAACAAATAAGAAACATAACAATAATAAGACAAGCAAAATAGACAAATGAAACAACCCCTTCACTTAGATCCTCAGATACTGCTTTGCAGAGGGGCTGTTTTTAATTTTTAATTAAATAACCTCACCAGATCATAAAATATGACATGTTCTGGTATAAAATATGTAAGATATAAATTCTTTGAAAGTTCAGATATTTTACTGTCTTGCGTGAGTACAGGTTTATTAACTGCCAACAGTTACTTTATGGTCTTCATAACTGTGTTTTCTAAGACAGTATAGATTTTTTTCCCTCAGTTTGTTTATGTGGTAGACCGTGGCATTTCAAAATAATCTGGTAAATCAGGTTTCCTTTATAATACTGACAACCAGGGAAGCCAATCTTATGCTTTGGCAGCTCAGCTTGTTGAAATATCATTGCTAATTTTTTTGGCAAAACTAATAAAGTGACGCCAGCAAAAATCATCCTGTGGAACACTCTTAAGTACAGTTACTTAAAAATTAAGATGTACTCTTCTCAATTACAGATAATTCATTAGATTATATTATTTTTTAAAAATGCTGAAGCAAAGTTATAGACAATATTACTAGCCGCAGTCATGGCAAAGTTAGCTTGTTGTCTAATGTATTTGTGTCCTCAATCCAGGACAATTTGAGATAAGTCTTGAATTTTCATATAAGCATGTACTTTCCAGCTGGTAGCTATCTTGATGGAATTAGGGTTCCCCATCATTACAGTTCTAGATTGTCTTTTCATGATCAGCTGGGCTTGATTGTCTCCTAAGTCTCTCAGGAATTAAAGACAGGCTCCAGTTTTCATCCCAGAAATGTTCCTTACTTTTAAACTGACTGCAAATTATTTTGCCCAGGTGACATGTGACTGAGGTGGAAGTCACTATGATCATTACTACATAGTTCGATACTATCTGGGTGATTTCTAAAATACACAGTAACATTTCATTTCTCTTCAGACATTAACACCTGCTTGCTCACTCCTTATGATATCTTGCTTTATTTTTTGCTTGTTAATAATGTATGTGTAAGCAAAACCTTTATATAACACCAGAAACACTAATTATAACTAAAATAGAGGTGTGTGTGCTGGGACCTCCCTAACACCAAGTATCTTGATGAACATGAGTATGTGTGCACCTGCAGGCTTGGATCCTGACCTATACTTTTTTCTTCTTCTTCTTCTGCTATCTGGCATGCTGTGCAGTGCTCCCTCTTAATCACTATGAAGGAAAGAAACACCTACTATATTTCAAGAAAATTGAGGTGATTAAAGTTACAAGGTAAAAACCAAAATTCAGTGGTGTTGCATTTTGTAAGTCAGCATTTTTGGTACTTATCCCATCTGGATTCTTTGTAGATAATTTCTTGCTTTTTCACCATAAATAAGGAGAGAGCAGGGGTAAGAGCAACCTCTGCATACTTCAGTTTTGCTATCTGGGATCATGTTTCAGGGTCTTTTGGAGAGCACTCTGGTGTTGGAAAGATGTTTTATAAGTGCAAACCCTTCATTTGATTGACCTTTTTAATGAAAATATTCTAAGTGATTCTAAGTGGACAATCACGAAAAAATATTTAATGTGGTGCCTGTTATTTAAAAGAAGTCATCACAAGATATGACACAACGTTTTTCAGCATTTAGCAATAGCAAGCACCAAGAAGCCTCTGTCAGCAGACTTATTAACTTGTTGACAGAGCCTGTGGTCCAGGAGGCAAATGTGCAATGTGTAAAGGAAAAAGACTTTAGAAAGCTAAATAAACTGTGCACTCATTTGAGTTTTAATTAAATGTTTTATTTATAGAGCTTCAAAAATAATTTGGAAACTTTAAATTTAATCTTTGTTTTAAATGTCAGCATTAAGCATCAGTGAAAGTCATTTGAGTATTTTTTTGTATTAATCCAAGCTGAAAAGCATTTCTGTAGCAATAGGCTGCTGGCTTGTACACAATGGTCAGATCATCGTGGTTGTGCAGTGAGATGCCCCTTAGCTGTGTGTGACACTGTCGTGTAGTATCTGCTTGTACAAATGCGAGCTCTTTAGCTTGAGATTGTAGCATCTCAGTGAGCTTAATGCTTACATGTATTTTGCAGTAAAAATATAATTAGAAATTTAATATTACAGGCAAAAGAAATCTAAGCAACCTCTTTTCAGACAGATTACTGAAAACAGTACTCAGTAATAATAGTGATCTTATGGCAGAGTAATGATTTTGCACTTTATTATTTACATATTACTTGTGATATTAAGTATTACCCTACCAAAGCAATATTCCTTTCTCAGTTTATTTAAAGATTATCAATACTGTTATGTGTGATAAGTATTAATGACTTTCCAATAATGTTAGCATCAAATTTCTTTGCTCTTCGGCCAATCAATGAAATGCGGGCTAATTCATATAGACTTTACAGATGAAGCAAGTTTTTAAAGAGGAACTGACTATAGTTACCACGTGTTAACAATACAGAACATCAGTGGGATCTTTTGTTTTTTTCTGCCCAAAATCACTTACAGTATTTATGCCAAAGAAAATTTTCTGTAGACTCTTGAATGGTTTATAAATCTGTAAGAGCCTGATAGAAAAGTTTGTTTCAACCTACAGTTAGTCCTTCAGTTTTGCAAGCAGTATTCCTTGAGGGTTTTAATTGGGAAGCTAAAGGCAGGGTTTAATAAAGTGTATTCAAATTTAGCTTTAAATATTGGGTGGCTGCCACTTCTCCATTATAAGTGCAATTGAAATGTTTCATGCTTGTGAAGCGAAGTGATGTAATTGTTCAGCTTATATAACTTTTTAATGTGCTATATGGTTTTTGAAATCTTACTGTTTATATAGCATGTATCTACTGTATACTTAATAATTTATCTCTAACAGGTTATGGAAGACATTTCATTTGGAGCAGAGGGTCATTTATCTGAGGTAAGTGTTTTCTAGGCAGTGTAAAGTGGTGATATTGTACAGACTTCTCTGGGTCTCAATTAGAACTAATGACACTTGTTTTTATAGTATTACCTTTGGGTAAAAATTGCTAGAGAGTGTGTAAGCACTTACAAAAGCAGCACAGGCACAACTAGAGCAGGCCTGTTCTTTTTTTTTCCACTGAAGATAATGGCAAAATTGCTATGTATTTCAGGGACTTCATCGTTAAATCCTCTGCTAGGGCTTTTAATGCATACCAACAACAGGATTAATATGTTGGGAGAAAGTAGGACCAATAATATTTAGCCAGCCTTACTGTAGCACTGTAATGATGCTTGGGAACGGAACAAAATCATGATGCTTTACTTGTTTCCTTGTGTACAACTAAAAATACCTTTGAGTTTACTTTTGAAGTATAAAAGCACACTGCAGCAGAATACAGGGCTATGGGAATTTTGTCTGAATAAAAATACTGGGCGTTTGTCATTTTACACTTTTTCCATAAATTAAAAGATATCAGACGCTAGTCTATATGTTTAAGAAAGTATAGGATAATTGACTAACATGAGATACATTCCTTATGAGAGTAAGTGATGAGAAAAATCTACTTGCATTCAAAGACCTGTCTACATACAAACTAAGAGCTTAGGTAGTATTAGGTAATAAGTAAAGAGAGTTATACTGGTTCAAAGACCTGTACTTGATTCAATCTGGTCCATTTTTATACTGGTATGCCTTGGATTGCAACTTACATATTTAGGAAACTTAGTATCCAAGCATTATGCCCAGACAGAAAATTAATTACATGCGTAAGTAACCCCCAGTCCACCTTCCATAAAAGCATACATGCCACCTGTCAAGTACAAGTGACAAGTGCTCAGCCGGGCAAATATTAAATAAATAAATAAATAAAATTACAGTTTGGGATAGCTATTGAGATGAGGCATTTCTTTGGATTCCCACCAATGAATCCAAAGACTGTGTAGCAGCTGGGATACTTCAGGAAAGATTATCTAACTGCAAGACCAAACTCAGATTGTTGACCTTGTATAGAAGGAGACTGTGACATGAGAGCATGCCAAGGATGGACTGCTTGGCTGGCTGCGAGTTCAGCATAAATAAAAACAGGAAGCCTTGAGAGTGAAGGTGAACTTTGCAGAAAATGCAAATAGTCTTTCTTATCAGTGATCTTTGCTGTGAATTAAAGCAAAACTGCACAGGTGCTTGTGTCCACAGATGACATGAAATAGGGGCAGGTAGTCCCATGGGATAAATGCAGCAAAAAGCCTTACTGCCAGCAGGGCAAAACACTGAGGGCACGCTGGTAGTGATGGCTGCTGAGACAGCTGAGTATTTGCTGGAAACTAAAAATTGCATATGGTGTGTACCAGAGTGAATGAGAGTACAACTGCGTGCTTGTGTCCAGCAGTGATCTGTGCTATAAGCTGTAGTACAGCCCAGGCCTTGACTGAAGAACTTGGTCTTTTTCTTAAGAGGAGGTGTGCTCTGTAGAAGTATTCACTAAGAGCTTAATATCTTAAAGTCCTCACAAGCAGAGGAACTTTGCCCTTTTGAAGTTTTGAGGGGGAAAAAAAAAGGCATAGAGAGGAATGATACAAATAAAGGAAATGGAAATTTGCTAGAAACCCAGGCTCTACCACGCTGCCACAGCTGGATTGATGTTGACTTGTAGACAGCTCTATAAAATCTCTGTGAAACTGTCAGCACCCTGTACCATGTCAAGGCTTTGCCTAAATGTTCCTTTGATGCTCTAGTCCCCTAATCCACTCCTGTCAGTCTCCCCACTGCCTGCAGGAGAGCACCCTGTTAGTCACTCCAGACTTTTGCATCTTAGCGACTCGGGAGCAGAGATGGGAGTGAACAATGCTAGGAAGAACCTCTAAATGATACCCAGCTATGCTGACTCCTAGCACAGCAGGGTGTGGACACTAGAAAACAGTTTGATGCTTTTGTTTCTTTTCCAAGTCCTGGCCCACTGTGAATTTTTATAGGTAACTCAGTAAATAGCCTCATCCTCCCACAGCAGGAACTGGAATTGTCCTGATTTTATTAAACGAGCCAGTGAAGTAGTCTGCACTGCTTTTGGGAAGTCTTCACTCAGGGAAGATCTTCAGTCTACTAGACATGAAAATGGGAAGACTGCTGTCACCCAGACTTCAGCAGGGGGCTGGAAGGCAGTGGAAAGCTCTGTTCCTGCATAGATGCTTTTCCAAGGACCCTCCTCCACAACTGTAATGGAAGATACATAAAGGGAGGAATTGCCAACATCGGGCTGTAATTTTGATGAGTCGTTTAACACTCCCATGTGGTAGTGTATCCCTGTGGAGGAGGGAAGGGGATCAGTGCAAGCAAAGGGAATATGGGAAAAGCATGTGGTGATGGGGAGGAGGTAGGTCACAGTTGCAAAACAGCTGTCTGGAGAGCTTTATGCCGGCAATTGTTGCATATGAGAAACTGAGGAGTGTGTTGTGCTGCTGCAGTTTCCTAAATACACATAAACAGGCTGATGGAACAAGCTAGCAGTCTGTAAGTGGAAGGTGGTAAGGGCAAAAGTAATTGGGAAACAGCCTTGGTCCCTCTTCTGAGAAACTGGCAGGTAACCACTCACCTAAACAAAATCAAGGAGGCAACAGGTGAGTTTCTGTGGGAAAAACTCTGTAGGTTTCATTTTCAGCAGATTATCTTTGATACCCTCCAGAAGACTATATTTATAGTACAGCACCATCTTCTTTTGGTGCAGAAAAGAGCAAACACAGTAACAGACTACATATCTCTGTCAGCAACTCTTCCATGGCCCCAAAGAATTTTGGAAAGGAAAGGACAAAATTGTTCGTAAGGTTGAGCCTGGAAGGGTACTGCAAAGCCTGAGTGAGCCAGCAAGACCACTGAAGGGCAAAGGAGTTCAGAGATAAGCTGTACGTACGGGATGGGTGACAGAAGGCATGTGTGTTATCTAATAAGATGATGGTGAATAAGAAAATAATGAAATGAGAGCAGAGGGCAGAAATATTTTTTTTCTTCCTTATTTTCTTTGCCTTTGGTCTTTCTAAAAATGATAAATTGTGTCCATATATGTAGTGCTCTTAGTATTCACTACAAGGTAGCAAAAGATGAATACGGTAAAGGGTCCTAAGGCAAGTGAGATGTACTCAAGTCAGGCTAGACTGACGAAATTTCTTCTGAGTGCACAGGAGCCAAGAAAAACAATCTCCAAACCATTAACAAGCTTCTTTGAAAACTCCTAGAGGAAGCTTGAAGTCCCAGAGGATCAGTAAAAGGCAATCTTGGTATTTGTCTTTAAAAAGGAGGTAGGCCAGGAGTTTATATGCCAGTCAACATAATTTCAATTAGGATTAGAATTCCAAATGCCCTTGATAGATTGAAAAGAATAGCCTGAAATCAATAAGATGGGATATGTTAAAAGACAGCTGCAAATTACATTTGAGGAAGTACAAAAGTTGGGTTTATGTATACAGATGGTAAACAGCAGCTAAGATGACAGTATTCCAGAACCAGAATCTAGGGTTATAGTGGACTACAAATAAAGTGGGATTCATTGCCTTCATCCTGTTGCAGGAAAGGGCAAATGTCATTTGCAGCCTCATTAATGGGAATGTCAGTTGTAAGACAGAAATAATTACTGAGCTTAGCTGAGAATGTCAAAGCCTCCAGAGGACTACGGCACTGGTCTGGGCACCTCACTCTGTAGAAGATAGGGGCACACTGAAGAGAAGAAGGAAAGTAATAGAAATCAAAGTTTAGAAATCCTGGTCTGGTTGAAAGTCAAAGTCTTCAATCACGTTAGAAATAATGATAAGGAGGATGATGATTAGTTATCGTTGTGTGGGCTATGTAAGGGTAAAATGAAATGTGTAACAGTCTACAAACTGTGGTTTGTAGCAAGGAAAGTTTACATTAGGAAAAGTTGCTCACTGCAAGGGCCGTTTATCCCTGGAGCAGGTTCTACTCTGCAAAATGAGCCACAAAATCCCTGTCAGCTGCTAAAAGCTGTGTGGACAGACATCAGCTGAGGACAGTCACAGTGGGCTTGATATCACTGCAAGTCACAGAGTGGGCTTTGGTGGTCCCTGGTTACTTTCTGGTCAGCCTTGCCATGATGCTAAGATGGTTTTGGTCGTGACAAACAGGCATTATTTTCAGAGTTAGAGATCAGGCCTAATCAGTGGCCGCTTTGCCCTCCTTATCTACAACACATGCCCAGGGTAGTGCAACACAGGGCAGGAAATCTGGGACAGAACAAGGGCAAAGCTTTCTCCATCTACATGTTGGGTGCTTCATGGCTGTACAGCTTGTTATTTAAGGGCATGTGCCCTTGGCCTGCATGTGACTAAAGTATCTTCTCAATTAGGAAAAACATGGATGGTTGCCTTTTGTTTCTAGAAATTATTTAAGAGATGTGCTGGCCTGACTTTATGTAGTTTCAAGTGCTCACAGTTTCTGTTAGCTTTGGAAGGGGCGAGAAGTGCATGCAGCACTTCTGCCAACAATAACCACTGTTCTGAGCATTTTGCCATAACGTGAAGTGTCTGTCTGCAAGGGCAACTTTTCATAGTGGTTATTCATGTTACTTTGAATGATTTTAAATATTATAGGAGAGAGAAGATTTAGCACAGGTGAAAGAAATCTGGCTTTGATGTTCTGCAGAGGGCTCTTAGGGCTTTTGTTTTACACATCTTATTGGGGTTATGATATTGCTAGTTTGAAGAAAGACAACTCCTTTTTACAAAGTTCCTCTGTAGGAAGAGCAAATTTTAAGGATAGATAGACTATTTCAGTTGGAAGGGACTTGCAACGATCATCTGCTCCAACTGACTGACCAAGTTAAAGCATGTTATTAAGGGCGTTGTCCAAATGTCTCTTAATACTGAAAGGCTTGGGGCATTGAGCACCTCTCTAGGAAGCCTGTTCCAGTGTTTGATCACCCTCTTAGTAAACAAATGCTTCTTAATGTCCAGTGT